TTGCGCTGTGTAGTCTGGTCGATGTTAACCAACGTTTCAGAGGTCATACTGCCTCCGTCATCAGGGCGATGAGTATGAAGATTTCCGTCTTCTGGGTTGTTGCGCTGTGTAGTCTGGTCGATGTTTACCAACGTTTCAGAGGTCATACTGCCTCCGTCATCAGGGCGATGAGTATGAAGATTTCCGTCTTCTGGGTTGTTGCGCTGTGTAGTATGGTAGATTAATCGCCCTGATGACGGAGGCAGTATGACCCCTGAAACGTTCGTTAACATCGACCACACTACACAGCGCAACAACCCAGGCATTTTAATATGCACTGTCTGAAAATAGGAAGACTATTTGGAGCAGCAAATCTCTTTGGACATAACGAAAACAGTTACAAGAAGTGAAATGTAGCATGAGGAAACGAGAATTTCAAGAATGTTGTGCAAATTGGTCGTGCTTTGTGGAGTCTTTGACGGTGTCTTCCATGTGTAGGTGATAAATGTGACAAAACAGATGCCTGGCACAACAGGACAAATGGGAGTAAGGCAGAGCCACTACTTGGTGTGGGGTACAAGACAGCATAGTTCAATGACGTATGGGGTGATGTTACAGGAAAGAACCGGAGAACAGCGGACTAACCCACAGAGGCAGTTTCTAATATGGGTGCCATGACAGAATCTGATTCATTTTCAGAGAGTGGGTTTGCGTGCAGTCAAATTCACATATACGTTAAGAGATAGGACAACTATACAAAATATTTTCTTTACTTTGTGTGTGTGTTTTTCTTTTATTCGGCAGAGAAATATCTCTCGTTCAACACCTCTTTTAAACAGCCTGACAATTCTTGTGTTCACTGTAACTCTATCCTTGGCAGTAAAAGGGTTCATGGCAATACAAACGAAAACAAAAACTTAATTTCACTGTGACATTTCCACTGTTTCTCAACATACCCAGAGGTCAGTGTTCTTGAAGTAACTGCCATAGTATTTGACTACCCAGGGACTGTCACACTGCTGCATAATGGAGATTTCCTTGATGATCTCCTGGAGGTCTGTGTCCACAGGCACCTGTTTGATGGCCAACACCTGCCCTGACTCCTTGTGCAGTGCCTTGTAAACACTGCCATAGGACCTGCAACAAAACACAAATGTCCACCATTTGCAGCTTGCTTTCCTTATTTTATGGTATCACTGTGTAATGGTACCTGCACCTTGTCGTGGTGGTGGGGCTTGAGTACCTCAGTGACCCCAAGAGCTACTGGTAGGGTCTCCCTAGCCAGATTGGTCGAGGGGCAGAGGTCAGACTAAGACAGGTACCCTGGTCCTCCAGGTTGGGGGTTGGTCGCAAGGCTGACAACCTTGCACCGTAAAAAGGAAGATGATTCGAAACCTCGATCAAAGCCTCGGACAGACGGACCTAACAGAGGACCGAATGGAAGAGGAGAATTGAGGAGGCCATGGCCCGAATACGGACCGGACAGCCATAGAAGAAGAAGAAGAAGATTGTGTACATGTTAGTGTCCATCCTTCCGATACATTCTTAACAAAGTGATGAATTTTCACAAAACTTGGTACGAAAATCATGCCACAAGAAACCAACCCATGCTTGCTCTCTTTAATTTCTTGCCATCAATAATACCAATATAACTGTTATAAAAGTTTCTGAGGCAGCATCTACACTGGCGCTGTTAACTGTAAGGTGACAGAAAAGAGATATTATGTATGCGATAAGAGGGGCAGGGGGTATTTTTATGAATCTGAGTCATAGTTATTTTGAAACCACTATACAGAGCATCTGAAATTAATGAAACTTATGAACTTAAGTTAAAATAAACAAGTTTATTCTGACATTCAATCTTAATAATTTATTTATTTTTAGTAAGAAATTTAAATTCTTTATTTTCAGGTGCTTTTTAAGAAAAAAGGAACCCACACAATTCACCATTGCATAATACCAGAAACAATGATTGATTCTAAATAACATTTTAATACAGATGCTCCAAAACACATATGCAGTTTCAATTGTGTGACATTTGAAAACATGTACGTATTGTGTTTACACGAGGCACACAGACAAAAAAATCCCACCATTAGAATAAAACTTAAGAGTGCTTTTTTTGTAATATTTATTAAGAAGTTGGTAACTATATTTGAGAATCACTGTGGCTGCACTTGAGAAAGTGTGATTTAGTGCTACGAACTAATAATACCACTGCCAACAAGAGATCAATGAACTAGACCACAAGCAGACATGGACAGCTTCAGCAATGAGCTGGAATTCATTACAACTAATTGAGTGTATGACACATGAACACTTTGACAGCTGTTGGTTACGATAGCATACACCAATCTTCCAAATAACCAAACTAAAGAAACAACGGTACTTTAAATATATCTCTTAACGAAAACGTTGTTCCTGCCCACAATCAAACCTTGGTCATTTAGCCCATAACCAGTCACTATTCTGACTGAACCACGGAGACACAATGAACAAATCTGGACGAAAGTGAGATACGGTTGCCTACTTTAATATAGATCCTCAACCAAGACCGTTGAATAGTTATGGAGATGAAACATGCGATGACACACCCTCTCGGTTATGCGTTCAGTTCGTACAAAGTGCATAAATAAAACTTTTATGAACACAATTATCAACCACGTATTCAGTAAACTACGCCAGACCAAGCTAAACGATTCCTCGAATAAAGAGGGCGTCATAAGAACATTTGTGGTAATGCCTTCCTCTTATCATCGAACTCTTCTCCAACCGTCTCTGTCGTCGTATTCCTGTTTCCGATATTCTTATCGCTGTCCACGTCATAACCTCCTGCCTTCCATCACAACTCCATATTTCAGTTACACTAACACCCCGTTCTTGAAGTCTCTGAAGCATTGTAGGCCTCAGAAACCTCCAGTTGTTTCGGGACCCGCTGATTATGATCAAACATGGTTTGTCTGTGCAGTCATTTTGATTTTCGTTCAGTTTGGTTTATTTTATGTATCACGTTATTTAAGTACCTATTTGAGAAATCACGTGTACATTTAGAGAGCCACTCGACAGATTCTGATGAAACTTCATTTTCGAGAAGTTACTTATGGAATACATCACTGGGTGGGCAGTACCTCACGTATCCGTAATAAAACTTGCACATTACATCGCATTAAACAATTTTTTTAACTAATCTCCCTGATTTAAAGAAAATTCATAACTATAATAATAATAATAATAATTCGAAAACGTTAAGTTCTTCACACATTTGAACGGCCCACACAAAATACCAAAACAGAACAAATGGACGCCGTACAATTATGCCCCGAGCGGGATTCGATCTCGAGATCCCAGTGATCGAGCAGTTCATACCCGAAATCTAAAGATTTTATGCAGTTTAAAACTTTTACACTCTTAATATGGGAACACTCACTCACCCTTCTCCGAGTTTGCAGATGATGTCGAACACCTCCTCTGGCTGCCGAGTTAAGCTCTCTTCTGAGAGTTTCTTCAGCTCACTGAAAACAACAAAGCAACTTCACCTTGACAACTCAGTAAAAGGACCAACATAACTTCTGTAACCATATATATTTTAGTCTAAGTTCCGGGCTGAGACGTCATATTGTATAACCGCGTTTCAGCCAGGAACCAACCCCTCCTGCACATACGAACGCCATATGCTGTTTCTACGCACATCAAATACGAACTGGCGAATAATATGAAATCCGTGGTATAATAACAACATGTCTGTCAATCTGTTAAAAACAGTTTCTCATACTATTTTTGCGGGCAAAACTTTGCTTTAGTGAGTATCACTCATTTGCAAATACGGAAAGCGACTTTATGACATCAGTGGCCGTCAATCACATGCCCGGGGATACAAAGGCGCCCGCGAGAACTTTTCGTAAGCTTCTGAGGGAGAATTTCAGTCAACGCTTACTCATTTCGTATATTTGAGATTGCATTAAAATATGAAGAAAAAAAAATTCTTACGTACGCCAAAAGTATTAACGGTCGTAAAACGCAGTGCCTTAAACGCGCACAGTTCTTTTATTATATAAAAACATATGGCGCTCGCTTTAAATTTAAATACCCTCCTAGCACCCCCCCCCCCAAAAAAAAAAAACCGTGGATTATCCTCTCAGTGTAGACATAAGAATCCAGAAACGGAAAGAGTATAATGAAGATGGCTGTCATCTGGGTTGTTGCACAGTGTAGTCCGGTAGAAGTTTGCCGAACGTTTCAAAGGTGCCTGCTGCCACCATCATCAGGGCGACGATTATAAATTTCTGCCAGACTACACGGCGTAACAGCACAGGAGAACCATTTTCATAATGCCGCAGTGAGATCCTCAAATCTCACTTGCAAAATATGTCTTCATACAAAACCATACTGCTTAAAAGTTTAATGTTATGTACACTTGTCTGTGAGATGTTGAAGGTCTAAACGTGCAGACACAAACATACCCTTTGTCCTGTTCCTGCTCGATCACACTCATTCTTTTCTCACGTCTGTCCTTACAAGTGTTGCAGTGTATTGTAGGCACCATTGGGGCAAAAACCCCTCCATTCTTAAACACCAGAGTGTCCATCTCTTTACTAAATCCAGCACATTTTCACTCCCATTTCAACACTTAAAAGGTCACATCGAAACATAAAACTTGGCAAATATCCACAAATTTATTCAATTTTCAACGCAATATTTGTTTTTATTACGAAACGACAAGGAATTTCTTCGCTGACGTTCCAGTATTTCATAACGAAGACCATCCAACACAACCACGTATACTTAGACGGCGTTATCACTTCACTGTTTTAGATTAGGAAACAATAATGAACAGTTGGCATCAGCATCAGATTTCTATCTTGTTTACATCCTAAAACACATAACACTTATCTAGCGAAAGGTTT